TCTGAATCTCCAATTTTCCCATGAACATATTAAAAGTGGATTCTGGATTGGCCTGAGAGTTTGCATGACATATTAGGGGGCGCCCTCCAATAAATGGGAGTGGGGTCAGGAGTTGTAAGGGATCAAACGAGTGCATTAAGAACTTGATGTACCTTCTGGAGAAAAACTTACCCTGGTCATATAATTTTCAAGTCCAACATAGAAGTCCTATCAAATTTATTCTGATTCCCCAGCATGCTGGCTGGGGAATTCTGGGAGCTGAAATCCACACATCTTAAAGTTGCTGAGGTTGAGAAACCCTGGTTTAGGTCCACTTGGAATAGTCCCTGTCCTCACTTGGGTGGCTTTGGTTCAGCTGAAGAAAATGGGAAGGGGCGTTCACGAGTACCAATTGTGGGATCTCCCCTGCATGGCAGAAATCCTTCTTAACCTCCAAATCCTGGAATTATGGGGGCCTTTTCTTGGGTGCTATCTTAAAACATCAAGTCCTCACTTCGGGATGGCCCGTCCGGATTTGGGTATCGGACAGGAGAAAAAGAATTTCCTTCTCCTTCCCCATCAGCAGGGGACAGGACTTGAACCAAAAATGTCTTTACCAAAGTCGGTGGACTTGGCAACATCAGGATCAACTTGAGTTAGCATATTCTGACTTCTCAAGATCTCGATTGTTCAGATTCATCAGAAAAAAGAGAAAGAGCGAGGTATCTGGGTGCCTCAAGAGAGACAGAACAGCCTATGCACCTTTTTAGCCTGAATAGGATAGAGATTTAAACGTTTCTTGGTGACTACAGCAAAACGTCGTTTCCATAGACTAGTTAGGGACCCCAGGTGGTCCATGTTGAGTCAGAGAAGGGGGGATTTGCCATTAGGGCGATGATGTTGTTGTGCAACTGGCATAAATTGTCCCAAAGGATGTCATTTGCCTGTTACTTCTAGTCTCTCATGCAGAACTGCAGCTTTACAAGTGCTAATGGGAGGGGTGGGAATAGTCAAAGCAGGCTACAGAACCCCCCACGGGGCTGCCAGGAGCTCGCCCACCTCCATCTCCGTGGCTGACTCAGCCTTGCCTGGATTTCGATAGCTGAGTTTGCCCCGCTGAAGCCGAGCCTCTCCTTTCCATGGCACGCTACCTTCAGCAAAACATGCAGGTGTCTCCTAACGGTGGTTAAGGCTAGTTAACTTAAAGGAAGGGTAGAGTCTGTGGTTAAAGCCCTCTTCCGCCACCGTTTTCCCTATAGCCCCAGTTTGGACGGCGTGGCCAGCCGAACCACAGCAGGGCCCACCGAGGGGCCCCTGTTTGCAGCCCCGCCGGCGGAGGCTTCTCGTTCCCGGCCCCAGAAGGAAGCATCCTCATCATCACCGCCCTGCACCCAACCTGCCTGTGGTTTAACCTTTCTTTGGAAAGCGGCTTCACCACGCTTTGCAGAGGCTGGATTCACACAACCCACTAAACCCCGAACACGGGTTATCAAAGTTTCTTACGCTGGGCCAAGACCAATCCAATGTTCTTGAGGTTAAGAGATGGGCCTTGCTCCCCCCACACCCTGGCCGCTTTAAGACGCGCG